AAAAAGACAAAGGCCCTGTAGTCACAACAATAGGTCTAAACAGAGCTGGTCAGGATGGCTGAGAGTCCCAACTGCCTAATGAGTCCATGGCCACTTCTGAGTGAAGTCCTTGTAATAGAATCGCCTGGCCCACAAGCCCTAAAATACTGACCGGCTTGCCCTTTAAGAAAAGGTTGGCTGACCTTTTGCTGGAGTCCAAGAACGGGCATGTTTGTTCAAGAGAAGGGAAGAGGTTCTTCCAGGGGTCGTTTGCTTTGAGAATCGGGGTGCTCGATCTCCTTAAAGGCTTGCAGGATGCTACCCTGTACCCAGATGAGCTCACACCCACTGCTCACACCGGCAAGACAAGGGCAGCCACAGAGCCGGTCTGCTCTCTCAGAATGCTGCCCTGCTCAATGTCAAAGCTCCTCCACACCTGCTTCCCAGCTCTGGAGAACAAAGCAGGTCTGAGACGCGGGGGTGGGGTGCCAGGGGTGCTGGGGTTATCCCTCTCTCAGCTCTCCCCTTTGGGTGAGTGGGGCTGGAGCTGACACACACGTCTCCTCCGCCAGCTGGGTGCTAGAGTGACAGCTAGGAGACAATGGCAAGACGGCATTCCCTCTCCTCGGTCTGACCTCCCCACTTCCATTCCTTAGTTGAAGAAAGCCTCTCCCAGTTTAACCGTATCCCCTGGGGCCCTGCTCCCCCAAAATGGGCAGAGGAGGGGGCTGTTTCTCTAGCTCGACTCCCCTTCTGCCTCTTCATGAGAGGGAGAGGGAGAGAGAGAGATCTGGTTGTCATAAGAGTGCCACTGCCAAGTTCTCAGTGGAAGCAGAGTTACCAGAAGTAACACCTGCACCCGACAAAGCTCAGACTTTGACCATCTGCCTACACCCAGAGTCCACAACACAGGACACCAGTGCCCAGTCCCAGTGGGATGTTCTCTCTGCCAGAGGGACACTGCCCCCACCACACCAAGCACGGGCACACGTGGCAACACTTGGTTTTTCTCTTTGGGCTTCAGTGGCCCGTAGGAGTGAAAACAGACCCTCTCCAGTTATCTGAGAGGGTGACCCTCAAACCCTTAAAGGCAGGTCCACAAAGCTCTGACCCGGAAGCTTTGGACTCTAACCACTGAGAGAGAAAGAGAGAGTAAGACAACATCCACCGTGGCCAAGTGGGCATTCCCCCACTCCCGTGAGGGCTGGCAAGGACAGCTCTCCTGTTCCAGAAGTCAACCCTCTGCGCCCGTCTCCCCACCCAGAAGCAGCTTACCGAGAAGCGTGAAGGCTTGGCGGGTCTTCTCAAAGTCTTCTGCGTCATCTACCCCCTCGATGGACGTGTCTCCTCCCTGGGACGTGTAGAAGAAGTTCTCAGAACAGGCTGCGGGAGGCAAGGACAGAAGTGTCAGCCTTGAATCCCCCACAGGTGACGCAGGTGACGGCCCCAGAAGACGTCTACTCCCTCGGTGTGCTGCCCCCAGCCCCAGTTTTATTCCTGGCAGGATCACAAGCCAGGTCCTTAAAAGCAGTCTTTCTCCACCACGGCCAATGGGGAAGACTCGTGCGTAAATTCTACTACTCTTATGGAAAGTGTTGCCAGGTTAATAGAATTTTGGCATGTGGGAAAACACAGTCTCCCCCACCCCCAAGGTAAGTCATGAGCAGTTCAATGACAGAAGGATTCAGGATAGACTTTCTACAAATAGGATCTGATGAATACGATACGATATTTACCCAGCCTAGAATCAATCACAGATTTTAATAACCTTGGACGTGTTAGTCTGACAACTTCACTTGGCAAGTCAGAGACATCTGGGCACTGAGGCGTTTTGCATGGGTGTCTCTTTCACGAAGTTGGGGCACACACCCGAGCAATGGAGGCACATACACAAAGGCTGCTCCCACCCCCCAGGTTACTTCCTCTCCCATCAGCCCTCTGGGGATGGCTGGACAGGAGTGGCCCAGGCTGTCTTCGGTTCAGAGGCAACCTTAGCGAAGGGCAGTCTCTGAGCTACAGAGAAGATGGTAGAATTGGGGCTCATCAAGGAGGCTGGCCTCAGAGGTCAACATGTAAGACAACAGCGGCACACAGTCCAAAATCCCCCTGGAAAATCTGGGTGGAATTATCTCCTCTTAACCTGGCGCTGTATGATTGGATACACAGAAGTTAAGCAAGCTCCCGATGCATCTTCATATTCATCTCAACTCCCCCTCCGTCCCCAACACCCGATCCTTCCCATTGGAGCTCAGAATCCAAGTCTCTTCATTTTCTCTATGTGGGTCTCCAC